TTGTTATATATCGAATAAAATAGTTTTAATCTTAGATTACGTCTTCGATCTTGTAAGTATTGCCAATTAAGTTCTCTTTTCATACAACGGGAGCTTTCAGTTCGGCCATATTTTCCCAGAACAAATCTTGCTGCCATCGACTGAATGCGCTCTAATTCATGAATATGTATTTTGTTAAACGGATCCCACACAGGACAGGCGTATTCTAGTATTGGTCTCACATAGGCATAATATGCGGCCTGTTTAACCTCCTTGGTTACATGTTTAAGATTTCTTTGTAAAAAGCCTAGGGCTTTTCCCGCTCTACTTACAACATTGCCAATGTGCTCAGACCATCCCCCATCCTCAGAAAGCGTGACACCCAAATACTTATATTTGTGTTCATACCTAATAACTTCATTGTTTAATATGTACTGATTTGTAAATCTATTAACCTTTTTGGTGAAACTGACGTGAACACATTTATTCGTGTTTAATACCATGTCATTATTTTTACACCATGCCTCCACGTGATTAAGGTCATCCTGAAGCTGGGTGGAATCCGTTTGGTCGGTCAATTCAGTATACAACACACAGTCGTCAGCAAACATTCTGATACGACACCTAATTGTATCCGAAATATCATTAATAAACACAAGGAAGAGAAGCGGACCGAGTACGGAACCCTGAGGTACCCCTGATGTCACCGAAGCTAAACACGAACAAGATCCACCAAGCACAACCTTTTGTTTTCTTGAAGTTAAATAGTCCGCAATCCAACGGCAAATGGTTTGATGAATGTTCAAGTTCTGCAGTTTTTGAATCAGAATAGAGTGTGATACCGTATCGAAAGCCTTTCTGAAGTCTAAAATAAACAATCAATCTGTCCTCGATTATCTAAAACTGATGCTATATCATGATAGAATTCAATTAATTGGGTTGTGCATGAAAAACCCTGTCTAAATCCGTGTTGTTTAGGATTAAAAAATTTAATTGAAGTCAGGTGATTCATTAAAGCAGAAAAAAGAACATGTTCAAGTACTTTACAACAAATCGGCGTCAAAGAAATTGGTCTGTAATTTGATACGTCTGATTTAGAACCACTTTTGAAAACTGGCACAACATTAGCTATTTTCCAATCATCAGGAAGCTTGCCTTCATCGAGTGATTTTTTATAGATAACATAAAGGTAACGAGCCACTGCCTCAGAGCAAAGTTTTAAAACTCTTGGTGATATGCCATCAGGGCCAGTTGCTTTACCTTCGTCAATGCGCTGTAACAACTTCATTATGCCATTGAATGAAAGCTCTATCTCACCCATAGGCAAATATTGTTCTTTTTTATTCGTGACAATCACTTGTGTAGGTGGGCGGAAGACCGATTTAAAGAAGTCGTTAAAAAAGTGTGGCTTTATCTCGATCCTCAATTACAATCTCGCCACCGTAACGTAGGTTTGGTGGGCTAACCTTCTCAGTACCACATCGTCTCATATATTCCAAAACCTTTTCTGATTAGAAAAGTCAGCGGCCAGACTCTTAAATACTTTTTCTTGGTTTCTTTCAGTTCCATTTTATAAAGTGATGTCAAATCTTTCATTTTATTAAAATTTTCAGGGGATTTTTTTGGCAGTATCGGGAAAAAAGCCCTCTTGCGCTTTTTGATAAGCTGAATAAGATGCCCCTTAATCCCAAGGTTTCTTAATTTACTCAGTTTATCGCTTGAGACGCTCGGGACGTGACGCCGAATGAGCCCATAATGCGTTATACACGTGGCACTCGTTAGCTCAGAAATCTCTCGAAGTCTTCGCGAAATATCAAGCACATCTCGTCAACATTCTACGGTAAGGGGTAAATTTCATCATGTACAGTACGGTATTTTATTATTAGCATATTGTGTATACACCTACGTGCATTAACTATTTATTTACAAAGAGAAGAACCATGCATATTGTCAATCTGTGTAAGTGGCCAGAGCTGGTAACTCTCACTTTGAAGTATACCTTGCAGTACAACTAGAGCACCATCAAAACGTGATGGTGTTTGCATGTGTGCGAGTACATACATCCACAAAATATCACGAGTTTACAGCCGATGGCCAATGCATGGCGCCTCAAACCACACCTCTGACTACGTTATACAAGTGGCACTCGTTAGCTCAGAAATCCCTCGAAGTCTTCGCGAAATATCAAGCACATCTCGTCAACATTCTACGGTAAGGGGTAAATTTCATCATGTACAGTACGGTATTTTATTATTAGCATATGTGTATACACCTACGTGCATTAACTATTTATTTACAAAGAGAAGATTCATGCGTATTGTCAATCTGTGTAAGTGGCCAGGGCTGGTAACTCTCACTTTGAAGTATACCTTGCAGTACAACTAGAGCACCATCAAAACGTGATGGTGTTTGCATGTGTGCAAGTACATACATCCACAAAATATAACGAGTTTACAGCCGATGGCCATTGCATGGCGCCTCAAACCACACCTCTGACTACGTTATACACGTGGCACTCGTTAGCCCAGAACTCCCTCGAAGTCGTTGCAAAATATCAAGCAAATATCATCGATACTCTCCGGTCATGCATCAATTTCATCGTGTTCGGAATCGTATCAAGTCGTTGAGAAACATCAAGCACAAGTCATCGATATCTACCGATCATGCATCAATTTCATCGCGGGCAGTATTGTAATAAGTCGTTGCGAAATTTTAAGCACATGTCATCGATATTCACCTACCATGCATAATAAGCAGTATCGTACGAAGTCGTTGCGAAATATCAAACAGATATTATCGATACTCCCTGTTCATGCATCAATTTCATTGTGTTCAGCATCGTTTCAAATCATTGCGAAATATCAAGCACATGTCATCGATATTAACCGATCATGAATCAATTTCATCGTGTTCAGTATTGTGTCAAGTCGTTGCGAAATATCAACCACAAGTCATCAATATTCACCGATCATGCATCAATTTCATCGTGTGCAAAATCGTAATAGTTCATTGCGAAATATGAAGCACATGTCATCAATATTCACTGATCGTGCATCATAAGCAGTACTGTAATAAGTCATTGCGAAGCATCAAGCACATGTCATCTATATTCACCGATCATGCATAAATTTCATGTGCAGTATCGTATTGGGTCATTGCGAAATATCAAGCACATGCCATCGATATTCACTGATCATGCATCGCTTTCATCGCTTGCAGTATCGTAATGGGTCAGTGCGAAATACCAAGCACATGTCTTCGATATTCACTGAATGTGCATCAATTTCATCATGTGCAGTATCGTATTTTAAGAATAACTAGGTGTATACAGATACATTGTTTACAAAAAAAAGCATATACTATCTGCAGTATTAGCATACAATCTGCATTGAACCGCGCGTGTAAAAAAATCTGCACCAAGAAAAGGCTAGAAAGTTGGCGGCAGATAGCGGCATAGCCCAATAAAGGAATGGTGGATGTCTTCAGCATCACCTATTTAATTATATTTGTTGAAATAGCACAAATGACAAAATCACGGCCCATTTAAAATTACCCAAACCCAAGCTCTAGACTGTATTTGGGCTTATGTGTGTGTTATTGTGTCGTTTGGGCGCTACTTTATTATTATTATGCCTTATTAAGTAGTCAATTGGTGTATAATAACCAATTTATTGGTTGATACATTTTTCAAAACCACAAAATAACAAAAAAGCAAGTTACAGCTATGTGGCGGGAGCTGCCACCCAAACAGGTGGTTATATATACCTACATATATCTACTTCAATTGATGTTTATATTTCTATTTTTGCAGACCAATTAGTTTTTTGCAAACCAATTAGAAAACTGTGTTCTAAACCTAAAACTCTTTTACTATATTATAAAACTCTAGCCAAAACCTGTACCAACTGTGCGAAGGAAGTGGAGGAAGGGAACTAGATGTTGTAGTGTCATTTAGGAGCAGCAAGAGAAAACAAAATTTCTGCAGCATTACCTCTGGGTGCGTGTTTTGCAAGTTGCTTAACGCAACGCAAGCACTTTTGCTATCGTTTGTTAGTTACATTTTTTTACAACAGATGTCGCAAAAACTGAATAGTTTTTGGTTGAAACAAAAACCTAGTTTTTGGTTCATTAAGTATTACGGCTTGGTGGCGCTAGCCACCGCCCGATCCAAAGGGTACAGCCATGTCCATCCATCCATCCATCCATCTAATTTTTTGCTCCATAGTGAACACAATTTTTATACATAGGATCTACGGGGAGTTTCTCAACTAAAGTAATTGAGGAGCTGGCACTTGCGGTAACCGTGTTCTGTGATAACTGTTCGTTGTACGATAAGATTCGATTGCATGGTCGATTATGTGTACATAGCTCCGACTGCAAATTTAGTCAGTAAAAAAGCTTGTGGCTCAAGTTATTGCCTTATTGAAATGGGGCACTGGCCGTCACGTATGTTATGTAGGCACTGGCCGTCACGTATGTATGGTCGTCAGGCTACATTTTCTAGCTTACATAAAACGGCCCCATGGTGTTTCTCCGTGTAGTACCGTTATCTTGTGGGCTCGAACTACGCGTTGTGTACTGTTATATTTGGCCTCTCTGCATGTTCTTATTGCTCAAACGTGTCCGCCGCTTAAAGAATTTCTGAGATGGTACACTCTAAAGGCAAAATTACCCTAAAAAGAAGTGTCGGAGCCCAATAGGCGCGCGCGATGAACGGATAGACTGTTGAAGAGAAACCACAGAGGGAAGCGTGCCGAGCGAAACCACATTTGCCAAAAGGATGAACCGCCCACGGATTGCAGGCAGCGCGAAAAGCGTTGCAAAGGTGTCCAGCCCTCCTCCTCCCTTCTCCCCATCTGCTGGCTCAGTCTTTTCCCGTATTTTGCCGGTGACGGGTGGCGTTTTGCGTCGCACTCAGAGTGCTCGACTATGGCCGCCTGGATTCTAAGAATTACGACGTGGTGCTTGTCTGTACGCTCGGATGAGCGTGGGCTGCTGCTATTGCGTTTCGCTGCACCCATGAAGTCTGGAGCAGGTCTCGACATGGCAACACGCCACGCTGTATATATCTGGCTTCAAGATAGTCACGACTAACACACGACACGAACAGTTGGAGAGGCCCAATATGGTGGCCGAGAAGTCAACAGGCCTATTCGATATAAAATTCAGTCCAACCAGGGCAGAAAACAGCGCTGGATTCTAAGGCAAGTAGGTTACCGAGTCGAGGAGCGTTTCTGAATACGGGAGTAAGGCATGTAGGTTATCATTCTTTATTCTACTCTACTTGTCGCGTGTGCCATATGGATCGCGCTTGCCGGCAACGGGTTCGGTCGTGTTTTATATCGCACGCACGAAATGCATCGCGAAAGACAGCTTCGGCGTCTGCTGCGCGCCTGTGCTTTGCGACTGCCTGTATATTGGCCGCCATTACCATCGGCCTCCCGTACGCTCGCTCATCGAGTGCTCGCCTCTCTTCGCCGCCGCGATGAGCTCCGGGCTGACGATATTGGACTGAGACCTCGTCGCTGTGTTGGCAATCGTCGAAAACACGTTGCTGGTTCTCGTAAAGAGCTTGGTTGTAGTATGTCGCGCGCTGTAAGTGCACAAGCACGAGCTGGCGGGGCTTTTGCTAGCGTCGGAACTCACTTAAAATCGGTCGCCATTACAGTCGGTCGCAAGCAGCTCTGCTCCGTCCGCTGGCCGCAGCGTCGGACTCGCGTTTGCGCGCTGCACTTGCTGGAGTTTGTGGAAAAGGGCCGAATTACCGTCGATTTTTTCGGCAATAGCTCCAAACCAGCACGGCGCTGTTCGTGGCGGCGACGAAGCGTACGCTCGCTTTCCTGTTCGAAGATTGCTGGCGGCAGAATCTCCGCTTGCAACGCCGTGTTTGCTCTCGCGTTCACTTGCTCGATCTGAACGACGTTGCTCGCTTAGGAATCGCCGAAGTGTTGGCGGCACGCAGGTTTGCGGAGTTGTGGCTGCAGCCGCCGCGCCTTAGCTGTTGCGCTACGGGGATCGAAATGAGTCTTTGACGATATGTGACATAACGGTGAAATTATTAGCATGTCATTTCTCACATAAGTTTTCACTTCACCTTGCAAGCATTTCTCATATGCGTTTGTAACCATCCTCTGTCACGTGTGACTTACTATTTTACATACTTATTGTGCAGCCGTCGGCGCACACCATGTTGAAGACTGTGTGCGCTGGCGAGCTGTGATGCCTGACATTCATCACTTTCGTCAGAGCAGATTTCGATGGACTGTGCGACATGCGAAGGGAAAGTTATTTGTGTGTCATATTTTGACGCTTGCTTTTATATTATCGTGCACGTACTTGTCATATGCGTGCATCTTCATCTTCTGTCACGTGTGTATAACTATTTTTACTATCTTATTGTACGTACAGCCGGAGGAACACAACAGGCAGAAGGCTGCGTGCGCTGGCGTCTGCAATGCCTGTCATTTATCGCTTCTGTCAGAGGAGCTACCCAAGGAGTAAACAAGATTTGACAACGAGACTGCACTCGTACACTTCACCATAAATTCACTTAAAAGAATGAAGAAACTTTATGCGTATGTGAAAAAATAGAAGATTTTGATGTCTCACTTTTGTCTTTCGTTGTTGCCGTGACTGCGAAAGCAGTCATACATAGGTGGCTAACTACTTTTTCGCGTGTTCTTTTCTGCGCAATGTGTTGCTCACTGAGCAGAAAAACAGGCAAAAAAACTAGTAGGCCTGCGGAAAATAAAGAAAAAAACAATCCTTGAACTGGGGACAAAAACTTCATTAGATTGGTGTATTTGAGTGGATCAACCTTTTATCCGGCAAGGTGCAACCATGAGGACTAACGGTTGCCCGGTAAGGTGTAAATGTAGGGATTAACAGTTGCTCTATAAGGTGCAAATTTGAGGATTAAATGTTAGTTTTTTGAGGGGGATTGTGAGACTAACGGTTACTCACTAAGGTGTAAATATGAGGTCTCAATGTTAGTCCCTAGAGTTCTTCTGTGGGGACTAACTGTTATACTCAGTGCTGTTAGTCCCTAAAGGAATTAATGGTTGTGGCAGCCACATTAGTCCCCAAAAGGAAGAACCACACAATCTTTTAACACCCTTTTGCCTTAGAGTGTAGCTGTTTCTTTAAACCGGCACGAAAGTTTCCTGGTTTATCATGGTAATTTGAGTGAGCTGGTAAGCTAATATAATTGGTTGAACGTGCAGCGCAGACGAGACTGAGCGTGGGGTAAGTGTGCACCCAATTTTTTTATCCCTCGCCTGTGCCGCGATGCAAGGCAAACTAGTTTTTCGGTTTGGAGGTGTTTACGCGTTTGGAGAGATGGGGGGGGGAGGAGGTTTTCCGGAAATTTTGACAATCTAGTGTTTTTAACATGCACTGACATCACACAGTACACCGGCCTCTACCATTAGCCTCCGCCGAAATGCGACCAGGATTGAACCCACGACCTTCGGGTCAGCAGCAGAGCACCATAACCATTGATCCACCATGGCGGACCGTTAATCTTGCCTTTGGTCATCGTTCAATGCAGAAAAATGCTTTTACAAAGACGGAATAAACGAGCCACGCAGACAGACTGTACGAGTGACTCTTCCCATCTACGAGGTGTTGTTCTTCCAGTCAGAAGTGCTTATTCGTGAGCTAGTTGGTATAGCATAATCTAGTATTAGACACACACGAAAAAACACGCGCGAAACCACAAACGATTGCGCTCTGTCAACTGAAACGCCGCAAATGACGAATATTGTGGTCTTTGGCTTGTTTATGCAAAACGACTTGCATACTCAAAAATGAGTCTATCGAAGAAACACTCATTTGCTCATTGTTTTCTTGACACTTTCAACGATTCTGCATTTGATTAATTCAGACGGTTTCTTCGGACTCATGAAACTCGAGCGAACGAGCTTTTGCTGTAGACACACACATAAAAAGCATGTCGCCACTGCTTTACACGTTTTATGCTGGGTGAATTGTTGAATAATTCACGGCATTGTGATTGTATTGCTAAAAGAGACTGATTGCATCGTACGACAAAACAAATGCTTGTTCCGTCAAATCTGTCAACATTCTTTGTATCAGATTTTTCACCACATGGCCAGTTTATTTTGAGCATGTGCTCACACCAGTTGCAACACTCCTAATTATATTGTTTTGTTTATAGGTATTGACTGCTTCCATGCATGAGAGAACCGAAATTCGCTGTGCCAGGCTATTGGCACATTCCTGTAATGTTTTTATTTTTGTTTCCCTGTAGACAACCTCCAGTAAGTCATCTGATGACAGCGTCCTGCTGGAAGACGAGCCAGGTTCCCAAGATAGCTCCCTTGTTACAGATACGAGCTTCCCGAAATTTCTGACAACGATGATATTGGTCTGAAAGACAGACTAAGTGCACAGGACCATGATCCAGAGATCGACAGGCAGTTTTCTCACATCTAAGAGTGTGCTGAAGGAACTCCAGCTGATGGGCCAGACCAAGAACACTGTGACGTCAGCGATCCATATGTTCATCTCTCGGAGTTTATCGCGAATAATTCATTTGTACATCTTCCTGGCATTTTCACAAGCAGATTGCAAGCCATGCTGCTGGTACTTACTTTCGTTGTGGCAGCGGGAATTCCATGGACCCAAGTAGACGGCTTGTTGAAGTTGCTCAATGCAATATTTGGCCAAGAGGTTTTCCCTCCACTAAGAATGGGTTTCGAAACTCTGGGATTTTCAGAAATATAAATGGTTCAGGTCAACACGTGGTGCTCAACGTGCAATTTTCTGACTGAAACCCATGGCCCCAATGAAGAGCTCTGTCGCATAAGCTTTCAGGTGTTTCCACTTTCTGCACTGCTGAAGAGAGGGAGTTTTTTATCCTGACAGACTTGAAGATACAAATGCAGCAGCTTCTCAAAACAACGGGAAACACTGTTGGCAACAACTTGTATAAGCTCACCTCAACCTCTTCGGACCAATTAAAAGATATTACCGATGGTGCGCAGTACAAGAAGATGCACCAAGTGCTCAAGATGAGGTGGAGCGACTTAATATAACTCTGAACACCGATGGCTCGCCAGTCTTCAAATCCAGCAAAGGCTCAGTGTGGCTGATTCAGGTCTCACGGAATTACTAGCCTGTGCCACTTCATTGGAAAACATTGTGATTGTAGGACAGGTTTAGCAAAGAACGTCCACCTGCCCACCTTTTCTTTAAGGCCTTTGTTGACAAGTTTCAAGGTCTAGTGAAGATAACATGGTCATTCGCGCTGTAAGTTGTCCATTCTGCCATTTGACTCGCCCGCACAAGCTGCTTTGCTGAATTCAAAACAGTTCAACGGGTACTACAGCTGTTCTTGGTGCCTGCAGAAAGGAGCTCTTGTTGAAGATAAATAATTTTCTACAATGCTTAGTATTGGCACGTAGATGTCTTATTATTAACCTCTGCTCAGCCACAACCTTGGAAGCAAGAGAAAGAGAGTCTTCATGCATTTCGCAAAAAAAAACACAGCAACAAGCATCGGCAGCTTCCACTATCCACAGTGCATATGCATAAACTATATGTGATCAAATGATCTATGGCGTCTGAAGGCATCAGATGCTTCGAGATTGCTATATATGGTTCATTTCAAGCACAGCACTGCCTTTTATCAATGTGGTATTCATAATACCACATTGATAACAGGCAGTTGACAAAAATCTATTGAACAAAACTGCTTCTCATACGGAATTGAGTGTGATATAACTGGATTAATACTTTTATTTTGCACACTTGTTCAATGCTCAGGTAATGGAGCTCCTGTTAAATGGAAAATATAGTTCCCGAGGTTCCGTTTATTGAGTCTGCCTTATATTGGCAAAAATGTCTGCTGTCCCTATGTATTGATGTCGCAAACTGACCAAGAACGCCTTGGATACCTTGCGGCCTAAAAGCTCAATTCGTGAGGTCTCTCTTATAAGCAGGGTACTAAGTTATGCATTATCTTACCAAAACCTATTTTCTTGGAACACACTGGTGTTTCTTATACACAAGTGTCTGTTAGATCAATGTCTAGTATAAAAGGCTTCGAAGTTATTAATCTAAGTGCAACCGAACTGAGCGGTACTATTTATCCTTCAGCAGATGCCAAATAGCCATACGAAGGTGCAGACATGGTAGAGGCGTGCCAAGATGTGGTTCAGTCAACAATGTCTCTTGCTGCAATGAGGAACTTCACAATTGATGGCATAAAGGGACCATCTCTTCTTGCCGAGCTGACATCGTCGTATTTCTTCTGCAGTTTACCTCCCGACTACTTGCATTGTGTTCTTGAAGGAGACACCCAGCAGATCACGGAGCTTTGGCTGACTTCCACTGGCGAAGCCTTCTACATTGGGAACAGAATTGCGGAGCTCAATGAGGGCATCGCAAGGTTTCCCCACCAATTTTTTTCACCACGCTGCCAAAGCCACTTTCAGAAAGGGCCTTCCGGAAGGCAACTGAATAGAAATTCTGGCTTTTCTATTACAGTGTCCCATGTCTTGATGCCATTCTTCCACCGAGGTACTTCGGGACTTTCATGTTGCTTTCTTAAAGTGTTTTATGCTGCTGAAGGAAACTGTTGAGGAGTCCAAGACCTTTATTGCCCAGAGTTGGTTCCAGGGGTTTGTTCAGGAGGTTTCCATACTGTATGGTACAGCTGCTACGACTTTTATTGTCCATCAGCTTCTTCACTTGGCGAAATCTGTTCGGAATGACTGGATCACTGTGGGCCACTTCAAGATTTCCGTTTGAAGGAGGCAATGGAGTGGTTTTGAAGTTAGTTTCATTAGCAAAAGGTGTGCCTAGCCAGATAACTGATCGTATAAATATGCAAGGGGTGATGGAGTCGCTTAAATGCCTTGTAACTCTGCCACCATATTTGATAACGCAGCAGGCAATTTTTTCGGGAAAGAGTACTGAGCAGAGCCAGATTTGTATACTAGGTGCTCCTCTACCTTTGTGTATTTTGGATGAAAACGTCCAAGCACTAATAACTGAAGCAGTTGGTGCAGGTGTAACCATTGGAGAATATTTCAGGGCTTGTGTCGGAGGCATCGTATTGCACTGTGCAAAATGCACACATGCCGAGAAAACATGTTTTAGATATTTTGAAGACCACAGTCGGAAAATTTTTTCAGGCACAGGGTGTCTTTGCTGCTGGTGCAGCCATATTATTATAATGCCAGGAAGTTATTCGTGAGCAGTATTTTTTGCTTTTCATGTACAGCATCGAGAATCCGCCAGTAAATGTAGTGCAGTGTCTCTTGCTTGAAAGCAACGTGGCTTCACCATGTGTTCTTCTCTAAGGAGGAGGAACATCTTTTGTAGCCAAATTTTCAAATAATTTTGAAAGAGACTAAATTTTGTGTACCATTTCTTGTAATATACAAGATGTCTTTGCTAGTTAAGATGGTGCACCTTACAACAGTGCCAATGTTGAAGAGGTCATGTTTATATGTTTACAAATCGTTCCTTTTTTTCTTTTAAGTGGACGTAGTGTGGGTGCTCTAATTTTAGTTACAGTAGTGGAGCACTGGTGGTGTAGTTCAGATGTCGGCCAATAATGTCATATGTACTAGGTTGG